TCCCTCGACCAATTTGTGCCCTATATCTGTCATCTCCGTGAGTACATACCGATCCGTGCCCAGGACTTGGGCCGAGATGTCATCAACAACATTCCTCAAGTGCGCCGAAGGATGTGCATCGGCAATCTTAGTGAGCGTGCGAAAGAGGAGGACTTTCACGAGGGTCATCGCAATACTGCAGCCTGCTAGCACGGTACCTGGCACACGAAATACTTCAGAGACGGCACCCTGAAAGGCAAGTACACGAGGCCCTGAGTAAAGAGCGCAAGCAGCAGCAAGCACACGGTAATCGAAAGAGGTAGCCATCCCTTCCCTCACCAGCACCCCGTGATTCACCCGCTCGTAGAACTTATGGAGGTCGGAAAAGAGGGTCGCAGAGGTCATATTCACTATAATGGCATACGCAGCAAGCATGTTGTGTTGCCACCCCGCTCTGTCGCATTCCTTCTCCCTGATCCCCCAGAAGCAGTCGGACTTGTGTTTTTTCCTCCCACTGCTTCGCGATCGGTTGGCGCAACCGCGCCCATACTCTCAGCATAGAACATATCAGCGCTATAGGTCGAAGCCCGTCTCCGTCGGGCTTGGCCATGAAAACAATCACCGTTGGCCAAAGTGGTGACATAACTGGATTCTGTTCCCATGCCATAAGAATATCAATCAATCTATCCAGATACAAATCAGGGAGCAGCAAAAGGCTTCTGGGATTGATACAGTCCACTCCTAGGCCAACGTCGTGACGAAAAAGACGAAGCACTGCCTTCAAGTCCTCGACAGAAGGCCTGGGCAAAAACGGTGCAGCCTGAAGCCAGCGAGCCTGTCCTGCACTAATGCCCTCACTGAGGTCGCCCCAGATGTCGCCCCATTCTTTCATGAGTTCCTGGATGGCCTCGTCCCCTTGGAGCGTCCAGCCGTGGGCCCCCATGGGCCCTAAGGTCTCCTTGGGCCCCTTGCTGAACCTGTGAGCCTCCTTTCCTCCACCTTTCACCGCCTGCTCAGCCCACTCCTTCCAAGCTTTCCACTGCCTCCTAGAATCCTCCTTCAGGACCTGTTGGTGGATCTCCTGAGCCTCGGTGAGCAACCTGGGGACCTCCTCAGTGCCGTACTCCCAGAGGTTCTGGACCAGGGCCTCCAGGCTCTGGGCAAGCTTCTTAAACCTGGGCTGTAGATCTTCTTCGCGCAAGCCGTGAAAACGATCAGCAAGACGAGACCACTCGTCGAAACGTTGCTCGGTATTCTCTATGTCAAAGACACGGGCGGCCTGCATCAAGTAGGCCACAAGCGAGCGCCAAGCACGGGAGGAGCGGGAACTGTGGGTTTGCCATTTCTTCGATAACAGCGACTCGAGGGGAACCTGCTTGCGACGAAACCCAGAAGCACGACCCGTGTGTTCACCCCGAAGCGGCCCATGGATATCAAACTGATCACAGAGTTCCGATTCCACATTGCTAATCCAGTTCTGCCAAAGTTGCTCAACCGAGAGCTCGCCCCAGTCCGAAACTTCCCAAATCCAATCACGAGGAACTTCAGGTAATAGGCAACCCACAGCTCTCTTAGTCGGGAAGACCTTCCAGGACACTTTAACATGCACTGGCATCGCGAGCGTGACTCCCCTGAGCCACAATTCAACAGGGGAATGCGGGCTCGACGGGGCCTCCAGCCAAGCACGCAAATTTGTGACGCATGTCTCCAGCCCTCGGGACACGACGAAAAAAATCCAGCGTACTGCCCTTTCCTGCCGTGCTAGTCATACAAGACGGGGCCAGAATCGTTGCTCCAATGATTGCACACCAATGCGCTAACCCTGGATCATCAGGTTGCATGTTAGCGTCACATCCCATAACCCATGGCAGTGTACTCTGATGCAAGTGCATACCCAGACCCTCCAACATGTCTAAGTTCTTGCCTTTGCACCCTATACCATCATGAAAATACGCAGACAGCCAGAGCAAACCATGCGGCACCACTGCCCGTACTCGAGCTCCTACCACACGACCCGTGCCTGCTGCATTACAAAACTGGAAACTGCTAGGCTCGATGCGTCCAGATGCAATGTGAGCTGCCACTCCCACCGCCACCCCTCCCGATGAAGCAAGTAGGTGATCACCTGTGGACACTGCGAGCGCCGAAAAACTGCGATAGCCTTGGTAGCGTAGACGTGCACGCATACTATCATCCTTGGCGGCATCCTTGAGCCGCGTCTCCTGCAGCGCAAGAAACTGGGGCATGGGCTCGGCGCGCTCGGCGCGCCAATCGAGGACGGCCTGGGCTGACTCCCAGGTGTTGGCGTTGGAGGTGAGGAACCTGAATTCCTGCTTCGCGCGAGGCTGACGTTTCCTTCGCTCGCGCTGCGCAGGCACTGGCAAGACGCTGCCCTCATCAGCTGCCTCATCCTCATCCTCCTCTACCTCCTCCACCTCCTCAGCCCTGCTGCCACTACCCCTGCTGCTTCTTCTTAAGCTTCTTGATGACAAAGCCTCGCTGCTCAAACATCTTGTGAAGCTCACGCTGCTGCTCCTTAAACTTCTTGATTGCTGCTTCCTTCTCTGCCCTCCTCTGCTCCTCATCGCCTCCTGCTTCTCCTCCAGCTGGGGTAGTGGGAGCAGGGCCTTGCTGGGTAGCTGCCGTTTCTGACAGATACTTCCAATCATCAGGGGAGAGATCGGGGAGCTCGTCTTCATCCATCTGACTCGGGGCTGCTGTATTATTGGCAGAGACGAAAGGATTAGTGCCAAGAGAATGAGCAAGGGCTGCATCACGCCACTGCTCCTGAACCTGGGCTTGCAGAACCTGAAGCAATTTGCCCATCTCTGGCGCCTGTTGTAGCGCCTCCAGCCACGACTTGAAACTGTCACCGTGCTGGAGGGCGGCCGCCGCGGCCTGTCCTGAGAACGAGAGCGAGAGGGCGGGCCCTGCCGCGGGCTGCACAGGAACGAGCTGGGCAAGAGACGTACGAGCCTCCTCCTCCACCTTCCTTGCCGTCGTCTCAGCCTCCTCCACCTTCTTCTTTGCGTTTTCCACTTGCTTATCCAGGATTGCTTTTGCTTGCTGCACCTCCTCCTCCGCAGCCCTGGCAGCCTTCTTGGCCGCCTCAACTGCAGCAGCCGCCTGCGAGAGACGCGTTGAAATCGACAACTGCTGTGCCTCCCACGGCTTAGTACGCTTGAGCTGGTCTTCCAGCTCACTGATCTTCTGGTCAGCCACCTCTTTGTCCGACTCCGAGCATGACAACCTGGAACTGTTTTTCCAAAACGCAATACGTGCCTGGAGAATCTTAATCTCCTCTCCTCCATCCTTCTCCTTGTCTTTCTCCTTAGCTCTGCCACCCTCAACCTCCTCGCCGCCTCCTCCTCCTCCTCCTGCTCCTCCAGCCGCTGGGGGGGTAGGTGATGAAGGTCCTGACGACTGTCCTTGTCCGAGGGCCTCAAGCTTCCTGAGAATTTGCGCCAACGTGTCTCCCCCTCCCGTCCACTTGTTGCCTTTATCCTTGGGCCCCTTGGGCCCGCCTCCTCCGCCACCTGCCTTGAGGGCCTCCTCATGAGCTTTCCGAGCGGCGTTCGCAACTTTCGGGGGGGCTTTTGCACCACATTTGCATACCACCCTTCTGGCCCAGTTGCCCGTCCTATGGCAGGACGAGCAGGACCAGAAAGGAGTCTTTGGACCCAAGAGCACATCCTTATTCTGGCCAGCTGACGGCGGCGCCATGCACCGCCCCTCGCGCTGCTGCCACCGACTGGTCAAACGGGATGTAGCTGGTGAGTTTGGCCCAGCCGCCACCTGAGGCGAGCTGGCCGGGAGAATAGAGGGGTCCCCTCGCGCGCGGGGCCCCCTCGAACCTTGCCTTGTGCCACGAAACGGCGATATCTTGAGCCAAAATGGCTACGGACCTTCTCCTCCTCCTCCTCCTCCTCCTCCTCCTCCTCCTCCTCCTCCTCCCCCGTCTCCTCCGCCTCCTCCTCCGCCTCCTCTCCCTCCTCCTTCTCCCCCGTCTCCTCCTCCTCCTCCTCCTCCTCCTCCTCCTCCGCCTCCTCTCCCTCCTCCTCCTCCTCCCCCGTCTCCTCCTCCTCCTCCCCCTCCCCCTCCTCCTCCTCCTCCTCCTCCTACCCCCCTCGATCCCCCATCCTCCTCGACGTCGCGCAGCTTCGCCCCTCGCCCCCCGCGGTGCACGGTCCGCTTCGCGCCCTTGCGCCCTCCGCAGCCGCCCTCCCCAAAGAAGGGCTTGTCGTCGTCGTCGTCGTCGTCGGCGTCGCGTCATCTTCGTCGTCGGCGTCGTCGTCGTCGTCCTCATCCTCCTCCTCCTCTTACCCCTCTTCTTTCTCCTCATCTTCCTCCTCCTCATCGTCATCATCATCATCATCATCATCAGCAGCAGCAGCAGCAGCAGCATCAGCAGCATCAGCATCATCAGCATCATCATCACCATCATCATCATCCTCATCCTCATCCTCATCCTCATCATCATCATCATCATCATCAGCATCATCATGATCCTCATCCTCATCCTCATCCTCATCCTCATCCTCATCCTAATCCTCGTCCTCATCCTCATCCTCATCATCACCATCACCATCACCATCACCATCATCATCATCATCAGCATCATCATCATCAGCATCAGCATCAGCATCAGCATCATCAGCAGCATCAGCATCATCATCCTCATCATCCTCATCCTCACCCTCATCCTCATCCTCATCCTCATCCTCATCCTCATCCTCACCATCACCATCACCATCACCATCATCATCATCATCATCATCATCAGCATCATCAGCATCATCATCATCATCATCATCATCATCATCATCATCATCATCATCATCATCATCATCATCATCATCATCATCATCATCGTGATCATCGTTACGACCATCACCATCATCGCGCTCATCACCATCACTATCCGAATCGTCGCCAGCACCAATGCTGTCGTCATCGGTATCGCCGCCGTCGTTGCCATCGTCTTCGCTATTGGACTACATGTCGTCCGAGGAGCTTACCATTTTCCCCTGGAGAAGTCAAACAAAGCGACCTCGGACTGGTATGGTGCTGCAGCTTGAACATGTAACCAGTAAGCCTCCACTGGGAAATTGAATGTTCAAGACGCCTCGCACCCTCGGAGTGCGCGTGGCTTAAATGAGCCAAGTCCTCACCCTAACTGGATGCAGACGCATATCCACTTGAAATGAACTCTGCAATCAAGGGACTGGCAGCGAGGTATTCCCGAGTCGTCTATACTCCTGCTGATATGTTTGCAAAGTGCCCTCAAGCAGCGCCCCCGAGCAAGAAAAAGCTGCAACGATGCCACGGGCGACTCGGCGAGCCAAGTGCTCAGATACTGGCGCAAACTTCTGACAAGCAACAACAGGCTCTTCTGCCGTGAACAAACGCCCTAGCCACTTTCTGGTGGGCCGCAAATCAGCCCCGCTCTAACGCCGCACTTCTCCTGAACTGCTCCAGCTCTGCAGGAGTGTTGAGAGAACCACTGAAAAACTCCTCCTTCGGCGCGTTTGGATCCTCCTTGGCCTTGGGCTCCCTCCTGCCCTTGGCGACCTCGCCCCCTGCGGCAACGGGCTTCTTGCCGCCCTTGGCGACCTTGCCCCCTTCCGCAACGATTTTATCCTGCTCGACATCGTACTCGCGCTTCAGCGCAGCGGCCCTGCCCTCGTACTCGCTCTTCACCCTGGCCTCGATCTCGCCCCACTGCCTGCCCGCCTCCTTGGCGATCTGCGCGACGTTCTTCGTGCCGAGCTCGCTCTGCAGCCTGTCACGGTTCTCGCTTAACCACAGAAAATACGCACTCATGGGCCTCTTCGGCGTGTTCGGATCCTTCCTGGCCTTGGAGTTCTTGCCGCCCTTGGCGACCTTGCCCCCTTCCGCAACGATTTTATCCTGCTCGACATCGTACTCGCGCTTCAGCGCAGCGGCCCGGCCCTCGTACTCGCTCTTCACCCTGGCCTCGATCTCGCCCCACTGCCTGCCCGCCTCCTTGGCGATCTGTGCGACGTTCTTCGTGCCGAGCTCGCTCTGCAGCCTGTCACGGTTCTCGCTTAACCACAGAAAATACGCACCCATGGGCCTCTTCGGCGTGTTCGGATCCTTCTTGGCCTTGGAGTTCCTGCCGCCCTTGGCGACCTTACCCCCTGCGGCGACGAACTTCGCCAGCTCGACATCGTACTCGCGCTTCAGCGCAGCGACCCGGCCCTCGTACTCGCTCTTCACCCTGGCCTCGATCTCGCCCCACTGCCTGCCCGCCTCCTTGGCGATCTGCGCGACGTTCTTCGTGCCGAGCTCGCTCTGCAGCCTGCCACGGTTCTCGTTGAGCCACAGCATGTACGACGACGCCGGCCTTTTCGGCGGGGTCACTCGAGCCTGAGGCGACGCTGCGTCGAAACACGGCGCCAGCAGGCCGCCCACCGCCAGCCCGAGCAGCGCCAGGGCCGGGGCGCACGCGCGGCTGCGCCGGTTGCCTGCGCGGTTGACCGCCATGGCTCCCGGGGCGGTGAGGGGCTCAGCGCCGCGGGATGCGGGCCGGACAGAAGGCCAGAGATTGCTCGGGATCCATGGCATGTGCCGACGGCTGGAGCCAACATGGCT